CCTTGAGTGTGTCCTGAGTGTGTGTCCTGAGTGTGTGTGTCCTGAGTGTGTGTCCTGAGTGTGTGTGAGTCCTGAGTGTGTGTGTGTGTGTCCTGAGTGTGTGTGTGTCCTGAGTGTGTGTCCTGAGTGTGTGTGTGTCCTGAGTGTGTGTGTCCTGAGTGAGTGTGTGTCCTGAGTGTGTCCTGAGTGTGTGTGTGTGAGTGTGTGTGTCCCTGAGTGTGTGTCCTGAGTGTGTGTGTCCTGTGTGTGCCTGAGTGTGTGTCCTGAGTGTGTGTCCTGTGTGTGTCCTGAGTGTGTGTGTGTGTGTCCTGAGTGTGTGTGTCCTGAGTGTGTGTCCTGAGTGTGTGTCCTGAGTGTGTCCTGAGTGTGTGTGTCCTGAGTGTGTGTCCTGAGTGTGTGTGTCCTGAGTGTGTCCTGAGTGTGTGTCTGAGTGAGTGTGTGTCCTGAGTGTGTGTCCTGAGTGTGTGTGTGTGTGTGTCCTGAGTGTGTGTGTGTGTGTGTCCTGAGTGTGTGTGTGTGTGTGTCCTGAGTGTGTGTCCTGAGTGTGTGTGTCCTGAGTGTGTGTCCTGAGTGAGTGTGTGTGTCCTGAGTGTGTGTCTGAGTGTGTGTGTCCTGAGTGTGTGTGAGTGTGTGTCCTGAGTGTGTGTCCTGTGTGTGTGTAGTGTGTGTGTCCTGAGTGTGTGTGTCTTGAGTGTGTGTGTCCTGAGTGTGTGTGTTCTGAGTGTGTATGTCCTGAGTGTGTGTCCTGAGTATGTCCTGAGTGTGTGTGAGTGTGTGTCCTGAGTGTGTGTCTTGAGTGTGTAGTGTGTGTCCTGAGTGTGTGTCCTGAGTGTGTGTGTCCTGAGTGTGTGTGTCCTGAGTGTGTGTGTGTCCTGAGTGTGTGTCCTGAGTGTGTGTGTCCTGAGTGTGTGTCCTGAGTGTGTGTGTCCTTGAGTGTGTGTGTCCTGAGTGTGTGTGTGTGTGCCTGAGTGTGTGTGTGTGTAGTGTGTGTGTGTCCTGTGAGTGTGTGTCCTGAGTGTGTGTGTCCTGAGTGTGTGTCTTGAGTGTGTGTCCTGAGTGTGTGTCTTGAGTGTGTGTGTCCTGAGTGTGTGTCTTGAGTGTGTGTCTTGAGTGTGTCCTGAGTGTGTGTGTCCTGAGTGTGTCCTGAGTGTGTGTGTCCTGAGTGTGTGTGTCCTGAGTGTGTGTGTCCTGAGTGTGTGTGTCCTGAGTGTGTGTGTCCTGAGTGTGTGTCCTGAGTGTGTGTCCTGAGTGTGTGTGTCCTGAGTGTGTGTCTTGAGTGTGTGTCCTGAGTGTGTGTGTGAGTCCTGAGTGTGTGTGTGTGTGTGTCCTGAGTGTGTGTCCTGAGTGTGTGTCCTGAGTGTGTGTGTCCTGAGTGTGTGTGTCCTGAGTGTGTGTGTCCTGAGTGTGTGTGTGTGTCCTGAGTGTGTGTGTCCTGAGTGTGTGTGTCCTGAGTGTGTGTCCTGAGTGTGTGTGTCCTGAGTGTGTGTCCTGAGTGTGTCCTGAGTGTGTGTGTCCTGAGTGTGTGTGTCTTGAGTGTGTGTCCTTGAGTGTGTGTCCTGAGTGTGTGTGTCCTGAGTGTGTGTCTTGAGTGTGTGTCTTGAGTGTGTCCTGAGTGTGTGTGTCCTGAGTGTGTGTCCTGAGTGTGTGTCTTGAGTGTGTCCAGAGTGTGTGTCCTGAGTGTGTCCTGAGTGTGTGTCCTGAGTGTGTGTGTCCTGAGTGTGTGTCCTGAGTGTGTGTGTCCTGAGTGTGTGTCCTGAGTGTGTGTCTTGAGTGTGTCCAGAGTGTGTGTCCTGAGTGTGTGTGTCCTGAGTGTGTGTGTCCTGAGTGTGTGTGTCCTGAGTGTGTTTGTCCTGAGTGTGTGTCCTGAGTGTGTGTGTGTGTGTACTGAGTGTGTGTGTCCTGAGTGTGTGTGTCCTGAGTGTGTGTCTTGAGTGTGTGTGTGTGTCCTGAGTGTGTGTCCTGAGTGTGTGTGTCCTGAGTGTGTGTGTGTGTGTCCTGAGTGTGTGTCCTGAGTGTGTGTGTGTGTGCCTGAGTGTGTCCTGAGTGTGTGAGTGTGTCCTGAGTGTGTGTCCTGAGTGTGTGTGTCCTGAGTGTGTGTGTGTGTGTGTCCTGAGTGTGTGTCTGAGTGAGTGTGTGTGTCCTGAGTGTGTGTGTCCTGAGTGTGTGTCTGAGTGAGTGTGTGTCCTGAGTGTGTGTGTCTGAGTGTGTGAGTGTGTGTCTTGAGTGTGTCCTGAGTGTGTGTCTTGAGTGTGTGTGTGTGTCCTGAGTGTGTTCCTGAGTGTGTGTGTCCTGAGTGTGTGTCCTGAGTGTGTGTGAGTGTGTGTCCTGAGTGTGTGTGTCCTGAGTGTGTGTGTGTGTCCTGAGTGTGTGTCCTGAGTGTGTGTGTCCTGAGTGTGTGTGTGTGTGTCCTGAGTGTGTGTGTCCTGAGTGTGTGTGTCCTGAGTGTGTGTCCTGAGTGTGTGTGTCCTGAGTGTGTGTGTCCTGAGTGTGTGTGTCCTGAGTGTGTGTGTCCTGAGTGTGTGTCCTGAGTGTGTGTGTGTGTGTCCTGAAGTGTGTGTGTCCTGAGTGTGTGTGTGTCTGAGTGTGTGTCCTGAGTGTGTGTGTCCTGAGTGTGTGTCCTGAGTGTGTGTCCTGAGTGTGTGTGTCCTGAGTGTGTGTCTTGAGTGTGTGTCTTGAGTGTGTGTCCTGAGTGTGTCCTGAGTGTGTGTGTCCTGAGTGTGTGTCCTGAGTGTGTGTCTTGAGTGTGTCCAGAGTGTGTGTCCTGAGTGTATCCTGAGTGTGTGTACTGAGTGTGTGTGTCCTGAGTGTGTGTCTTGAGTGTGTGTCCTGAGTGTGTGTCCTGAGTGTGTCCTGAGTGTGTGTGTCCTGAGTGTGTGTCTTGAGTGTGTGTGTCCTGAGTGTGTGTGTCTTGAGTGTGTGTCTTGAGTGTGTGTGTCCTGAGTGTGTGTGTCTTGAGTGTGTGTCAAGTCAGACTCTATATTCAGTCTTTGGTCAGACTCAGGATCTGTGTGACACTGACCTGAGCTGTGTGATACTGACATGAGCTGTGTGACACTGACCTGAGCTGTGTGACACTGACCTGAGCTGTGTGACACTGACCTGAGCTGTGTGATACTGACTTGAGCTGTGTGACACTGACCTGAACTGTGTGATACTGACCTGAGCTGTGTGACACTGACCTGAGCTGTGTGACACTGACCTGAGCTGTGCACAGCCTCCACTTTGGACTTTTTTAAAGTCCATGCCCAAGCCTTTGGACGTGTTACTGCTCAGAGAGACGCCGCTGGGAGCAGGACCTGCTTTAGACCTGATATAGTCCTGGTTTAGTCCTGGTTCAGCTCTGGGTCCAGACCCTGGTCCTGCACCAGAATTCTCCATTTTTCTGCAAAAATAAAAAATGTATTAAGTTTTACAAAGTAAACAAATGAAAGTGTGTGTCCTGAGTGTGTGTGTGTTGTGTGTGTGTTGTGTATGTGTGTGTGTTGTGTGTGTGTTGTGTGTGTGTGTGTGTGTGTGTGTGTGTGTGTGTGTGTGTGTGTGTGTGTATGTGTGTGTGTTGTGTGTATGTTAAACGTTACACAGTTGGTCCTCATAAATCTCAGTTTGTTGTAAAACGTGTGTGGGATTCTTCTCTCTGTGTTTGTTTGTAAAAAAGTTTAAATGTCAGAGTTTGTGACGCTGTTTCACACTCAACACTTTTTGTTCTGAGTCTGAAAAAGTGAAACTGCACAAACACAAAAAACACATTTAAAAAACACGGCAGAAATAAAAGTGAAGCAGCTCGAGTCCATCAGGTCGAACGATCAAATTAGTTTATTCTGTAAATCCAAAAGAGCCTCAAAGACCAGAGTCAAACAAAGAACCGAATGTGGCTCTGGTGGACAACGTCCTGAACCGTCTTAAAATCTCAGAATCATTTCCAGGTGAAAAAACTGAATCTTTTCTTTTCTGTTTGAGTTTTGTGAAATACTCACTGTGTCCACGTCGTCTCTTCTCTCCTTCTTTACTTTCACTTTCCGTTCTGTCACGTGACCCGTGTGTGTCTGAGGCACAGTGAGTCTGAGCTCCAGCAGAGGGAGACACACTCCAGCTCTGAACCCACACACACACACACACACACACACACACACACACACACACACACACACACACACACACACACACACACACACACACACACACACACACACACACACACACACACACACAGACACATACACTCTCACACACACACACGCACATACACACACAGACACACACACACACACACACACACAGACACACACAGACACACACAGACACACACTCACACACACAGACACACACACAGACACACACACACATACACACACACACACACACACACACACACACACACAGACACACACACACACACACACAGACACACACACACACACACACACACACACCCACGTCAAGTGTGAAAAGAGGTTTTTAATGTACAGAATGAAACGTGCAGAACTCAAAAACTCAGACCCGACCCAGACCAGACCCAAACCCAGACCCAGACCCGACCCAGACCCAGACCAGACCCAGACCCAGACCAGACCCGACCCAGACCCAGACCCAGACCAGACCCAGATCAGACCCAGACCAGACCCAGAGCCTCTGAAAGTCTGACAGGCTCAGACTTTGACAACCCAGTGTGACCATAAAACATCAGATCAGTAGAAACATCAGATCAGATCTTAGAGTTTGGCAGATTTTTTGCTGAAGCTTTAATGTGATTTATTAAAATGTGTGAAAAAATAATTTTTACACCAGAGACACACGTGACAGGTGTAGTGACAGGTGTAGTGACAGGTGTAGTGACAGGTGTAGTGACAGGTATAATGACAGGTATATTGACAGGTGTAGTGACAGGTATAATGACAGGTGTAGTGACAGGTGTAACGACAGGTGTAGTGACAGGTATATTGACAGGTGTAACGACAGGTGTAGTGACAGGTGTAACGGCAAGTGTAGTGACAGGTGTAACGGCAGGTGTAGTGACAGAGTGACAGGTGTAGTGACAGGTGTAGTGACAGGTGTAGTGACAGGGGTAGTGACAAAGTGACAGGTGTAGTGACAGGTGTAACGACAGGTGTAGTGACAGATGTATTGACAGGTGTAGTGACAGGTGTAGTGACAGTGTAGTGACAGAGTGACAGGTGTAGTGACAGACAGGTTGTAGTGACAGAGTGACAGGTGTAGTGACAGAGTGACAGGAGTGACAGTGTGTAGTGACAGGTGTAGTGACAGGTGTAGTGACAGAGTGACAGGTTGTAGTGACAGAGTGACAGGTGTAGTGACAGAGTGACAGGTGTAGTGACAGGTGTAGTGACAGGTGTAGTGACAGGTGTAGTGACAGAGTGACAGGTGTAGTGACAGGTGTAGTGACAGGTGTAGTGACAGATGTATTGTTAGGTGTAGTGACAGGTGTAGTGACAGGTGTAGTGACAGGTGTAGTGACAGAGTGACAGGTGTAGTGACAGGTGTAGTGACAGAGTGACAGGTGTAGTGACAGGTGTAGTGACAGGTGTAGTGACAGGTGTAGTGACAGGTGTGTGACAGGTGTAGTGACAGGTGTAGTGACAGGTGTAGTGACAGGTGTCTGAGCGCGGCTGGAAGGACGGCATCTCCTGCGAGCTGATTGGCTGTACAGTCTTTATTTAAACACATTTACACAGAGCCACAGCCAATCACAGAGCAGCGTCTCATTGGGGGGCGGAGTCACAGTCACGTGTCCATCACCGTCCAATGACATCACGTTACGGGGGTCACAAGGGTCAGTGGGGGGGTCAGGTGGGGTCAGTGGGGGGGTCACAGGGGTCAGTGGGGGGGTCAGCGGGGGTCAGAAGGGCATGCCTCTGGAGATCTGGCGGGCCACCCTCTCCTCGGGGCTCTCGTCTTTGGGGTCGGGTCTCTCTTGGTTCCAGTCCTTGAGTCCCGGGGGGAGGCTGGTGTCCTCCTCGTCGCCCCCCGTCCCCTCCACAAACTCCTCGTACGTCGACTTCTCGGCAAAAGGTCTTTTCCCCAGAAGCTCCTCCATGTCACGTTTGTCCAGCACCTCCTTCTCCAGGAGACGCAGCGCCACCTACAGCCCACAGACAGACTGGATTAGACCTGATTTAGTCCTGGTTTAGTCCTGGTTTAGTCCTGGTTTAGTCCTGGATCAGTCCCTCTCTTTAGTCCCAGTTTAGTCCTGGTCTAGGTCCGGTCTCCGTATCTTCTCCACGTTGTCCTTGTGCCGGGTCAGGGCTGTGGTCTTGGTCTGTGATCTAGTCTTGGTCTTGGTCTGTGGTCAGGTCTGTGGTCAGGTCTGTGGTCAGGTCTGTGGTCTTGGTCTGTGGTCTTGGTTTGGGTCTGGGTCTTGGTCCGGTACCTTCTCCACGTCGTCCTTGTGGCGGGTCAGCAGCTCCGTGGTCTTCTCGTAGGCCTCTTGGATCAGCGCTCGGACTTCGACGTCGATGAGTCGGGACGTGGCTTCGCTGAACGGTTTCTCCAGGATCATCTCGCCCGGACGAGGAAGATCGAAGGACAAATGTCCAACACGACGATTCATCCCGAACTGGACGATCTGCCGACCACAACAGACACGTGACAGCGGGACGGGGACAGGACAGGAGCACCTGCCCTTGGCGTAGGCGGGACGGGGAGACAGGGGCGTCTCACCTGGGCGTAGGCGGGACGGGGAGACAGGGACGTCTCACCTGGGCGTAGGCGGGACGGGGGACAGGGGCGACTCACCTGGGCGTAGGCGGGACGGGGGGACAGGGGCGTCTCACCTGGGCGTATGCGGGACGGGGGGACAGGGGCGACTCACCTGGGCGTAGGCGGGACGGGGAGACAGGGACGTCTCACCTGGGCGTAGGCGGGACGGGGGGATGGGGGACAGGGACGTCTCACTGGGCGTAGGCGGGACGGGGGATGGGGGACAGGGACGTCTCACCTGGGCGTAGGCGGGACGGGGGGATGGGGGACAGGGACGTCTCACCTGGGCGTAGGCGGGACGGGGGGACAGGGGCGACTCACCTGGGCGTAGGCGGACTGCGTGACCTTGCGCAGGTCGTCCTGGGCGCCGGTGGTGATGCGTTGGAAGAAAAGCTGCTCGGACACTCGTCCTCCCAGAGTCATGCACATTCTGTCCATCAGCTGCTCGGCCGTGTACAGGAACTGCTCCTTCGGCAGGTACTGGGCGTATCCCAGGCCACGCCCCCGAGGGACGATGGACACCTGCGGGGACCAATCAGGGCTCAGACACGGTCCAGACATGCCCCCAAACACAGGTAAGACACGCCTCCAAACACAGGTAAGACACGCCCTAAACACAGGTAAGACATGCCCCGAAACACAGGTAAGACACGCCCCTAAACACAGGTAACACACGCCCTAAACACAGGTAAGACACGCCCCTAAACACAGGTAACACACGCCCTAAACACAGGTAAGACACGCCCCTAAACACAGGTAACACACGCCCTAAACACAGGTAAGACATGCCCCGAAACACAGGTAAGACACACCCGTAATCACAGGTAAGACACGCCCCCAAACGCAGGTAAGACACACCCTAAACACAGGTAAGACACACCCGTAATCACAGGTAAGACACGCCCCCAAACGCAGGTAAGACACACCCTAAACACAGGTAAGACACGCCCCTAAACACAGGTAAGACACGCCCCCAGAGTTGAGATCCTCCTGTAAACCGGTTGAGATCCTCAGACCTTGAGCAGGGGGTCGGCGTGCTCCAGAAACCACCCGGCCACGGCATGTCCGGCCTCGTGAAACGCCACCACCTTCTTCTCATCGGGCTGAAGGACCTGAGTCTTCTTCTCCAGACCTGAAGGAGACACCAGGAGGTCAGGAGGTCCAGGGAGGGTCAGGGAGGTCCAGGGAGGTCCAGGGAGGGTCAGGAGGTCCAGGGAGGGTCAAGAGGTCCAGGGAGGTCCAGGGAGGGTCACGAGGTCCAGGGAGGGTCAGGAGGTCCAGGGAGGTCCAAGGAGGGTCAGGAGGTCCAGGGAGGGTCACGAGGTCCAGGGAGGTCCAGGGAGGGTCAGGAGGTCCAGGGAGGTCCAGGGAGGGTCAGGAGGTCCAGGGAGGGTCAGGGAGGTCCAGGGAGGGTCAGGAGGGTCCAGGAGGTCCAGGAGGGTCAGGAGGTCCAGGGAGGGTCAGAGGTCCAGGGAGGTCCAGGGAGGGTCACGAGGTCCAGGGAGGGTCAGGAGGTCCAGGGAGGGTCAGGGAGGGTCAGGAGGTCCAGGGAGGTCCAGGGAGGGTCAGGAGGTCCAGGGAGGGTCAGGGAGGTCCAGGAGGTCAGGAGGTCAGGGAGGTCCAGGGAGGGTCAGGAGGGTCAGGAGGTCCAGGGAGGGTCAGGGGTCAGACTCACCTCCGATGACCCTCTCGATGGCCTGCTCCAGGTGTTTGGCGTCGATGGCGTCGCACAGGTGGCGAGCGGCGATCAGAGCCGCCTCATTACACACGTTAGCGATGTCCGCCCCTGAAACACAAACACTACATCACCCACAATCCCCGGCACCAAAGAAAGACAGCACAGAGGAAGAGGAGGAGGAGGAGGAGAGGGCGGGGCTTGGTGTTACCGGAGAAGCCCGGCGTCAGGGCGGCCATCTTCTTGGCCACAGCGTCGGGGTCAAGCGTCGAGTCGAGCTTCAGAGGTCGAAGGTGAACCTTAAAGATGGACGCCCGACCTTTGATATCAGGAGGACCTGAAAGAGAACGGGCTCATGAACCAGGACTGAACCAGGACTAAACCAGGACTAAACCAGGTCTAAACCAGGACTAAACCAGGTCTAAACCAGGACTAAACCAGGTCTAAACCAGGTCTAAACCAGGACTAAACCAGGACTAAACCAGGTCTAAATCAGGACTAAACCAGGACTGAACCAGGTCTAAACCAGGTCTAAATCAGGACTAAACCAGGACTACACCAGGACTAAACCAGGACTGAACCAGGTCTAAACCAGGACTAAACCAGGACTAAACCAGGACTAAACCAGGACTAAACCAGGTCTAAACCAGGACTAAACCAGGACTGAACCAGGACTAAATCAGGACTAAACCAGGACTACACCAGGTGTGTGTTACCGATGTAGATTTGGCGGTCGAAGCGTCCTGGTCTCATCAGCGCCGGGTCCAAAATGTCCGGACGGTTTGTTCCGGCAAGAACCACAACGTTAGACGCCGTGTTAAACCCTGAGACATGAGACAGAGACATGAGACATGAGACATGAGACATGAGACATGAGACAGAGACATGAGACATGAGACATGAGACATGAGACATGAGACAGAGACAGAGACAGAGACAGAGACATGAGACATGAGACATGAGACATGAGACATGAGACATGAGACATGAGACATGAGACATGAGACATGAGACATGAGACATGAGACATGAGACATGAGACATGAGACATGAGACATGAGACATGAGACATGAGACATGAGACATGAGACATGAGACATGAGACATGAGACATGAGACATGAGACATGAGACATGAGACATGAGACATGAGACATGAGACATGAGACATGAGACATGAGACATGAGACATGAGACATGAGACATGAGACATGAGACATGAGACATGAGACATGAGACATGAGACATGAGACATGAGACATGAGACATGAGACAGAGACATGAGACATGTGTGTGTGTGTGTGTCGTGTGTGTGTGTGTGTGTCTGTGTGTGTGTGTTGTGTGTGTGTCTCTGTGTGTGTGTGTTGTGTGTGTGTGTGTCTGTGTGTGTGTGTGTTGTGCGTCTCTGTGTGTGTGTGTGTCTCTGTGTGTGTGTGCGTCTCTGTGTGTGTGTGTTGTGTGTGTGTTGTGCGTCGGTGTGTGTGTGTGTGTTGTGCGTCTCTGTGTGTGTGTGTGTGTTGTGCGTCGGTGTGTGTGTGTGTGTCTCTGTGTGTGTGTTGTGTGTGTGTGTGTCTCTGTGTGTGTGTGTTTTGTGTGTGTGTGTTGTGTGTCT